TACTAATGAAAAAGAAAAAACGAAAGTAAAGACAGTAAAAATTAATGTGTTTTTTTTTTTGTCATTGAGTTTATTGGTACATTTTAGGTGTACAGTGCAGTTATATTCATCATTGGGATCTTGTACCTTTACATGACAGGTCTTGGTTCCCATTTTTTTCCCCTCACCTCTGTCTTCCCTTCACCCCCTCCTCCCTGTGTCTGTGTTTTTGAATGAGTGGTTGGTCTCTTTCCAGCATCTGCATTCTTGTAATTCAGCAAGTCATGATTTTCTGCACCTAGTTGTAGGGCCTGTGGGTTTGAGAGGCACCCTTCCTGCACCAGAGGCTCCTCTGTCCATTCACCCCAGACTGTGGTAGTGGTTTAAGCTGAGACATACCTTGCTTATGTTGGTAAATAGAAAAAGCAATCAGCCATCTGGTCTGTGCCTGATGTAGGCTAAGGGGCCAGGGTTCAAGCAGATTTTTGGACTTAATGTCAACACTCCCCAGGCCTGGTTTCTAATTACAGAAAGCAGGGTGTGTGTCATTCTTGGCCTGAGTTTAAACTCCTTCAGGGGTCTGTGTGTAGCCTGCAGCCTCTGTGTGGTCTTTCTTGGTTGTGTCTTACCCAGTCACTTTGGGAGGGTAAACGGGATCCCTGAAGCTGCTGACCATGTTTATACTTTCTTCCTTGGTCTGCTGGCCTCCATACTTACGTTCTCTCACTGTACATTGGACTTCTCCATGATTGGGTCAGTTAGTCCATGCTTCTGCTGCCAGTAAGCACAATGTAGAGCCAGCTTGGAATTGGAGCTGGGTTGTAGCTGGGTTGTGGTGTGGTGGGAGCAAGTTGCTTATTACACCTTCTTGAATTGTCTAAGCAGTATTGACATTAAGGTGAGTTCCATCAGGGTGAAGGATTTAGGTGTGTTACATGTGGCAAAGCAATGCGGATGGAAAAACACTTATGAGAAGAGGAAGATTCTTGGATGAGGAGGTAAACAGTTAATTTTAGGTGTGTTAAAGGAGAGAAAGCTTTAAGTTAGCAAAGAGGAGATAGTCTATAGGCACTTGGCTCTCTCAGAGGACATTTGGAGTTAGAGATGAATTAGGGACTAAGAGCTCTGTGGAACTCTTTGTGTCTAAAATTTGTGTGGAAGCTGGGACACCATAGGAGTTGCCATAGGCATGAGAGAAAACGAGGAAGTGTGGTATGCAGAAATCCAAGTGAAGAATGTGTTCCATCCAGGAAGATTTTACCAGCTGTTTTAAATTCTGAGGACTTATATTTATATATTAAACTTGTGAATGTGGCAATCATTTCTAACTTTCACTATAGTAGCTTTCACTGTAATAGCTTTAGTAGTTATTGACTAAAAGAGCATATGATATCAAAACAGAAAAGTGTCCAGGGGCTTTGGACCATGAAGGTACTATAACCATAGCAAGAGAGGAGTAGTGGAATGATGTGGGTGGAGTTCATATTAATGTGAATAGAGAATTGAGTTGAACCTAAGGAATGGGATCTTAAGTGTGCACAAGCAACCTTTTCTTTTGAAGCTTGGAAGGGAAATATTTATTGATTCAAATAACATCTTTGTTGAGTGCTTGTTATATATCAAATACTGTTACAGGTACTACAGAAAACTCACTGAACAAAACAGCCCAAGCTCCTTCACTTCCTTTGAGTAAGAAGGGAGCCAGCCATATAGATGTCTGAAGGAAGAGTCTAGCACTCCTAGATGATTGTGTGAAACCTCTAGTTTGCTTGCTTGTTTAAGGGACAACAAGTGTAACTGAGGAGCAATGAACAAGGCTAAGAGTGGTAGGAAACAAGACCAGGAGAGTTGCCTGGGTTAGGTCATTTAGGACATTGTATGCTGTGAGTCTGACCCTGTATTTTATTAGTGCAAATTACTGTGATAATGGGAAATGGGGACCCTTAGAGGTTGAGGAGCAGAAAAATGATATGATTTAAATTTCATTTTGAAAGGATTTCTCTGGGTGCTGTGTGAGGGCAAGTGTTTGGCAGACAGTTGTAAGGATATTTTCATAGTCCAGGCAGGAGGTGACAGTTGTTTGGATTAGGATAATGGCAATAGACGTGGGAAGAGGTGGTATACTCTTTAGTTATGTTGAAGGTTTACATTGTGAAGGAGTTGAAGATGACTTCACTGTGAGGGGTAGGATGCAGCATCTGACAGAATAATCAAGATACATTGCTTGAATCAACTGGGTATATGAAAGGGTTCCTTCCTAGTGGGAGGATAGGTTTGGGTGAGGAAAATGTAGATGTCAGTGTTGGGCACGATGCATTTTAGTGATTTTTGTTATGTAAGAAGATAGGTGGAAATGTGACTCTGTTGAAGGGACTGGTTGAGGTCCGAGATGTAGCTTTGGGAATCATAAGCACAGAGATGGTAGTTCAAAGCAGTGAAAGTAGAAAAGGCAAAATAAGGAGCGTTTGAGGGCTGGGCATATATAGCTCAGAGGTAGAGTGCTTACCTAACATGCATGAGGCCCACTGTTTAATCCCCAGTGCTTAAAAGAAAAAAGAAGTAAAAGAATGAAATTAAGAACTCAAAAGGCATTGACTATTGGCATAAAAGGCACAGCAGCATTTAGAGGTCAGAAAGCTGAGGGAGTAGCAAAGAGAACTGAGAAGGAGCAGTAAGGAAGAAGTACAGGGGCAGTAGTATTTAGCAGACAGGTGAAGAAAATGCTTTCAGTGTGTGTGAGGGTTGTTAATAGTTTTAAAGCTTTATGAGAGTTTCAGTAAGATGAGGCTCTACTATTAACAATAGGTTTGATAGAGCGGAGGCCATCGGTAACCTTCCCAAAGGCAGTTTTGCTGTACTGATTCATGTGAAAATTTAGTTGGAATTAGTTTAGGAGAAAACGGTAGCATAAAATTTGAGACTGTGATAGTAGACAATAATTTCAAGAGATTTTGCTATAGATGGGACTAGAGATATGAATACAAACTAGCAGATTGGAAGGTAGGAAGATGAAGTAATTCTCTGTTATTGTTTCTGTTAAGTTCATGAAATTACAGTTGAAGCTGTTGGCTAAGTAAAAGGAAGCAAGAGCAGGTGTTTGAGGCTCAACAAGAAATGGATATATGTGAAACAGTCATCTTAAGAGTAGGAACTGTGAAATGAATAGTACAGGGTTCAGTTGAGATATGTTTATATGTTTGTATGAATATAAACTGAAATGAGTCATCACTGTCTTTTATTTTCAAATGAAAATTTAACTGCTTGGATGTAGTCATCAAATAAGCAAAAAAGTGGGCTGCATTAGAGATTTTTGCCTGGTAAGTTCCATGGAGGGTGACGAAGAGCAGGGAGTTCAGAATCTGTATCAAAACAATGCTCATCATAATGTGGGGAAGAAATGAAAGTAAGGAATGGTTCATAGTGGGAGCGGAGAGATTAATGGGTGAGGAAAAGTTGGTAGGGTCAATGGATTTCTTTTTGAAAATGCCAAAGATTTTATTGGGAAAAGCATACTGGAAAGAAATGCTTGCTGGTGTTGAGTGGGGTATGGAATATTTACAAAGAAGTATTGAATTGGGGATTCTTATTGGGTGATTACAAGGTCAAGGGTATAACTGTGGGAATGAGTGAGTGCCTGATATTGGTTGAGGAAAAGATTTTTGGAAATGGAGGGATCAGGGAACAGGTGGAGATGGTGGAGAGTCCTCGCAGTCCAATGCAGAAGGTTGTGGAAGAAACAGATAGAGACTGAAAGCGTAGAAGCAAATTGTACTTTTATTCAGCAAGCGTGCCAGAGTATAGCTGCTTTCTCTCAGAGAGACAGGCAGGGGTGCCGAAACGGAGCCACTATTGAGGGGGGCTCAAGATGTTGGTTTTATAATGGTGGGGGGGCCTATCCTGTCTCTGGGCTGAGGGCTCCCCTGCTTGATTGGTTAATTGGTTGACTTAGCTCGTTACTAGGGACAACGGGGAAAGGCTTTTGGGTACCTTTTACACCTTAGGGTCGAGGTTCTTTTTCCTTTTGATTTTAGCAAATCAAGCTTTGCAGGGTACAGCGTGAAGAGGAGGTGAAACTGCAGACTGTCAGCTTTTCGAGGGTGGTTAAGCCTGTTCTGCCAACTATATGAACTCTTGCTTGTGTGTTGGGGAGTTGTTCCTCATCTCTCCCTGCCTAGGGTCTCCATCCCTACAAGTACACTTTTGAGGAGTACCTCTGTGGATATTGAAATCACTGGGAATCACCACTGGAATAGTTCTGGAAGGGAAAACACTGGAACAGGGTCTAAAATCTTCAACAAATAAAAAGATGTGAACTGGGCATAGTGTAATCCCAGCACTGAGGAGGCTGAGGCAGGAGGATTGCCTATGGCTGGCCTGGGCTACATAAGTGAGTTTGAGATCACAGGATAACTGTATGACCAGGTATGAGAGGTTACAGTGTCCTGGGTAATGTTTCAGAAGAGCTGAACTTTGTGAAGATTGAAAAAGTGGTGGGTAGAAATTCTAAGAAAGAGTCAGGTTTGGAATGGAGAGTGGCGTTTTGTCTTTTTTTTACTGTGACAGAGAATAGTGTACCAGATAGAGTGAAATTGGGTATTTAGAAGATGGTCACTGATTAAAAAGGCTTGCATTTTATTTTAATGATGTCTGGTAATGAGAGCAATGGAGAGTGACTCTTGGGTAAGGTTATGTTTACTAAACTGTATCTAGTAGCACTGTACATGGTTGTATTGATTTCTGATTTAGAAATAATGCAGAAGGGTCCAGATTTTATTTCTGCTGTCTTCTGTATAGTTCAATAACCCATAGGTTGTGGTATACATGAGTGCAGATCATTTGAAAAGCAAAAATCTTAAAGGAAAGGAAGTGAGTGAGGTCATGTGGGGATTAAATAAAGAAATCTTTTTGTCAGAATTCAGTTAAGGAAAGAAAATAAAAATCTGAACTAATACTATCTAATGAAGTGGCTAAAATAGCTCTATAGGCTTTGTAGTCTATAAATTTTGATTTTTTCCCCCCAGTGGAGGAAGTCCTACCTAGTGAGATGAAGAAGCAGTTGACTGCGATCTCTGAGGAGGTGATGGATCTGGCTAAGCAATTTCCTGACACTTGCAGAAAACTGGAAAATCCACAGAGGTTATAAATTATATTTTTATCAATTCTGTTTTTTCTTATTCTTGTATATGAATAATTAACTGTTCATTAAGATAGACTCGTACATATTTTCTTGAGTACATGCACACAGAGTGATTTATAAATTTGAGAAATCATACAGTTGTGAAATAGTACATACAAAGGTCTTAAGTTTTTCTGTTGGCTTTGTAGGTTGCTTTATGAAACAAAGAAATTGTATTTATATTACACTTTTTGTGAAAGCAAAATTAAGTATACATTAAGGAAAATATTTAAGGTGCAAAGTTATCCTCTTTGTGGTTATGAGCAATTTTTAATTACATTTATAGTTTGGTCACTTTGAAGTCTGTAAATAAAAACAAGTTTTATGCTTAGTAGCTTCATTTTTTTTGGTACCGGGGATTGAACTCAGGACCTTGGCTTGTGAGGCAGGCGTGGTGCCATTGAGCTAAATCCCAGGCCCGTAGCTTCCTTTTTGGTAGAGTTATTATTTAAATATTTTACCTAGAGTAGAATACTAGAATAAAAAGTTATTCAAAGCTTAAAAACTGTTTTATAGCTAAAGCACTAGATAACTTGAGATATTTAGACCAGATAATCTACACATATTAATACACTTTGGACTATTAGATGCCATGTAGCTGATTCTGTTTTGGAACCAGACCTTTCTCGGGCCTTAATTGCTGAGTGACTTCTTTGTTAAATCTCTGAAAGCAGGAATGCTCTTGAACAGTGAACAGCTACAATATGTGATAATGTAACTCTGTTGCAAAGACCACTTGTAGAAATGAGCAGTTAGTTGGATTAGAAAGTGCTTTGAGAAAATATGTTAATGTATTCTTTTTTAGATGAGATTTGTTGTGGCATATGATTGAAAAATTTAATAATCTGGTATCAAAATTCAGGTATTTTTTAAGATAATTTTTCCCTCTACTAATTTGTTTTAGTAGTTTTTATACATTTTTAAAAGATGAAACATTCAAATGGGAATGAGACCATTAAAACTATTTCTTACTCATTTTTACATTTTTCTATGAAATTAGAAAAAATCACTTTTCATGTGATTTTTACATGCATTTCAGATATATATTAACAATTAAAATATCTACCCATTGTAAATTATACATGCTTAATGTTTTGCTTCAAAACATCAAAACTAAATAGATTTTCTTAAAACTTGAGAATGGGAAGTACTATATCTTGTTAAGTTTTAGTGTCCAAACAAGAACTAGTCAAATCTTTTATTTCGTGTTCTTTGAAATAAGCCTATGGTGAATCGTAACTTATTTATATTATACCTCAGAATCCCAGAAGAGAAATAAAAAACAGGCTTCTCGAAAGTCAGAGTGTGTGCTGTAAGCACGCATCACACTCACTTTCGGCATTTCCGGTGGAGAGCGTGAGGCCGTGTTCAGAGTACCCCTGCTTTCTTTTTATAGATACAATTGGAAAGGTTTGGGTATTTGATTAAGTGGAAGTGATAGGAATAGGAAGTGAAATACACACGACAGCAGTTGGAAGTGACAGCTGGCAATCTGTGAAGGAATGGACCTCCTCCTGCTCCTCATCGGGCTTTAGAAATGAAGGGCAGGCTTAATCCAGTGCGTTTTCTAAGTGAAGTTTTAAAAGCCTTTTATTTATTAAAAAGCTTTCTAATGTGTCCTTATAGTAAATATAATTAAAGTTTAATCTTCTTAAAAATTTATAGGGTTTCTATAATACTGAAGAATATTTCAGAAAATCTGTATTCACTGAGGAAGATGATATTTGCCTCTACTGACAATGAGCCTGAACTGAGGCCCAGTAGTAATTTTAACTTATCATCATGGGAGGATTCAACTGCCGCTGGAGAACAACGGAAGCAGACTAGAGAACATAAACTTTTTACCAAAGTTAAAGATGAGACATGGGACACAACACTTGATAACTTAATTGAACGTGATGGGAAAGGTGTACTTGGAAATGAAATAAAACAAGACGATGACGGCTTTGAAGATGGAATAAAAGATAAATTGAAAGAAAATATGGAAAGAACTTGTTTGATGTCATTAGATATTACAGACTATGAACTCCAAATTTTGGAACAGCAGGCTCAAGAAAAAAATCTTAGTGATGTTTCTTTTCAATCTGCTGAGGTACTAAATGAAGAGGAGACATACTTTTTTTTTTTCTTTTCCATTGAGTTTATTGGTATTTTTTAGGTATACAGTAAATTGGGACCTTGTACTTACATGACAAATCTTAGTTCTCATTTTTCCCCATTCCCCTGTCCTCCCTTCACCCACTACACCCTTCCCTGTTTACAAAGACTTTGTTTCCATTTTTTTCCTTTTCTCATATTTTTTCTTTTCCTTTCCCCTAGCTTTCCCACTTCCCCTACACCTTTAGCCCTTTTCTTCCTGTTTCACGTTAGAGGAGACATACTTTTACATTCGTCAGTAGGGGATAACTTCTGTCAAGAGGTACACGGTAAATAATTTAAGCTTTATGGGACAGTTTCTGCTGCAGCCAGTCCATTCTGTCTCTGTAGAGTGAAAGCAGCAATATACAAATGTGCCTTCTATGTTTCAATAAAATCTTCTCTACAAAGACAGTCAGTGGGCCATGTTTGGTTTATGAGCCATAGCTGGCCACTCTTGACTTAAATAGCATTGTAAAATTTAACTGTGTTAATAGAATTATTGTAATTTGCTGTTTCATTATTTTTTTATGCTTTTTATATACTAAATATCTGTGCTTTTTTGGATTCTTTACATATATGTAACTATTTACTGTTTCAAACTTGATTTTTAGAGGTAGCCTTTATTTTCTCATATAGAATTCTCAGGGTCAGAGAGTTTTAATAAATATCTGATGTTTTTGCTTAACACTAGTTCTTATAGTTATCAAGAGAATCAATAACCTATTTTTTTCTTAATATCTAAATTTCTCATTTGTTTTTTCACGAGTAGAAATTAAGTTGCTCATATTCTCTAGACTTAAACAATTTCTGACAATAAATAAGTGTTTAGATTTTTGAAAGCCATTTTAATAGAATTATTTTCTCATTTTTCTAACAGAAAAATTTTAATGGAGAAATTCTGTTTTGGTAACTATGTTAGTAAGCCTTTCCAATTAGTGTGTGAATACATTTTGTTTTAAAATTATTTACAAAATATTCTTAAACCATTTGCAAAGTAGGTTCCCCTTTCAGTAAGTACTATCTTTTGCTAACATCTGTGTTACCTTTCAATTTTCCAAAAATTTCTTGTTAGATACATACTTTCAGAATTACACATTTCACATAGTATAGAATTATGGTCATGATTCATGACTTATTTTTTAGGCCAATTATTGCCATTTAAAAATAATAATTATTAGAATTTTTCTTTTATTCATTAAAGACATTATCTAAAAAGTAGAAGTTCTCTTTGTAAAAACTTTAAAACTTTTTAAATTTAAAATTTGCAGATTAAGGCTATACTTTTTTTTTAAACTTCAATTTAAATGTTAGGCTTTTGGGGGGCATCTATTCTCATTTTTTTTTTTTTTTGTGAATTTCTTTGTGTGGATTTTTATGCTCTTGGGCACTTACTTCCTGAGGCTTACTAAATTATTAAAATTCCTCATATCCAAACTTACACAACAGAATAGGTAAATAACTTATCTGACATTTTTTCAAATTTATATAGATGCTGTTTATAAGAGGGATTGATTTATATAAAGGTGTACAATCATAATATACTAACTTTATTTTTAAAATCAGTTTCTCTAAAAGAACAATTACTCTTCTTGACTTTTTTGGTGGGAAGGAGGAGTGGGGGTAGAAACTAGGGACTTGGCAGTGAGCTACATCCCCAGCCATTTTAATTTTTTATATTGAGATAGGTTTTTGCTAAGTGCCTGAATAGTCCAGAGTGGGCTCAAATTTGAAATCTTCTTGCCTCAGCCTCTCAGAGTGCTGGGATTACAGGTGTGTACTACCACTCCTGGCTCTGTTCTTCAGTTTGCACAGATTTTTTTCAACATTTGACATTGTTTATCCATAGTTGGACTTTTCACTTTTTACAACAGTGATTTTATTTCTAAGTTGAGTATATTTCTTTCTTTCCTTTGGTTCTTAGTTTCTTGTCATTCCTTCTTCCTCTTTTTCTTCTGCCTGTCATATAAACATATAAATGTGATTTGTACATTTACCTATCAGAGAAGAGGAAAGATGGCTAAAGATAGTGTAGATAACTTTATTTGGTAGAAAAGAAGGTGATTAATTTTACTGGAAATTAATTTTGAAATACTTTTCTTAAAGCATTTATCTCCCAATGATAATGAAAAAGATTCATCTTATATAATTGAAAGTGATGAAGATTTAGAAATGGAGATGCTTAAGGTATGTTTAAAATTATTTAAAAAATTACTTCATGTTCTTACCAAAGGACACTTAATCAAATGATCACTTAAGGGTAAATTAAGTTCCATCATGACATTACTTCAAATTATGTACCTTTGTATTTAATATTTTACAATTCATATTTATTTATGTTTTTATATGGCATATGAATAATGTTTTATAAGTGGTATACTAATTTTGCATATGTGTTCTATGTTTCTTTTTTACATCACTTTCTCTTAATTATTTGCTGGACTTGAGGTAGTGATTAAGCTCTTCATTATTAACATTGTTTTTTCTTATTCATATATGGATATATATTCATATATGGAATATTTTGACATTCTTTTTATATATTAAATCATTTTTACACTGTTTGATATCTCTTACTATGAATTTAAAATATTTATTTTGTATAATTTTCTAACAGTTTAAATGATCCAATTTTACTGTTTTATCAACATTGAAAATGTAATTGATATAATTTTTACCTGTTTATTCAGTCTCCAGTTTGTCAGGTATTATGTCCAAAAATGGACGTTAAAGCCAGATTGAGGAGGTAGTTTGTGCTTGATATAAGTAACATTCTGGATTCTATCCCCAGTGCTAAAAAATAAAACAAAAAACAAAAAATTAAAAAAAAGGAGAAAAAAAGCTAGTTTAGTCAAATTAAGTGAAAAATGGAGAAAAACACAACTGTGCCATTGTGCATACTTTTTATTTTTCATCTTTAGATTGATAGATTGATGTGATTTTTCTTTTTATGAAATGAGAGTAATTTCCTTATTCTTTAGTTTTGAGGCCTAATTATAGCAATTACAATGACAATTAGGAATGTAGGTTCTGAATTTAGATGTGGATTTGAGTCCCTCCTTTCACGTTAAGAAAAGTCACGTGGGACTTTTCTTACCCTTTGAAACTCAGTGATCAGTTATTAAAAGTATTGTTGAGACCTTAGTATAGAGCTCAGCATTCAGTTATGTGTTTAATAAATATAAGCTAACTCATAATTCCTTTATTGATTAACCATTTCTCTAAGGAGTGATATTCAAGTAGTGTATTCAGAGAATTCTTGTGGACTTCTATAAAATATATAATGAATCTCTTAGAAGGCCACTTGGATGCTGGAGTTAGAGAATTTTATTTTACAGCGCTTTCTGAATATGTTTGTGGACTTGAATAAAAAATCATAATCAGAATCACTTTTTGTTCCCTTCCAGGCCTAAAATGAGTACACTTTTAAAAAACATTTAAAGTGAAAATAATAAACGGCAGATTTAATGAAAAGAGAAAATGATTAACTATTGCTTAATAAAGTCTTATCACTTCGTAGTGAAAAAATTTAAAATGTCCTTATATTCTTGAGGTAGTCTTTTTTTTTTTAAAGAGAAAACCAGGTATGTTAAGCCAAATTAAAACTGAATAACTTTATTTCACATATGTAATACTCTTTTCCTGAAAATTTTTGAACTTTGTTTTTTTTTGATAAATCTAAAACCACATGTATTATTAGCTTATAGTTTAAGCCTTATCCTTACTCCAGAGTGTGACTGATATGTCCCATAAAGAAACTTATTACCCCCCAAAATTTAAACCCACATTTATCACTTGGGAGTTGAAAACACTGAAGTACAATAAAGAAAAAAGTGTTTTAAATTACCCAAATTCAAAATTTATGATAGATTTCCCTAGGGGCAATTCATTATATGCTATTAATGAACCTTGTTTATGCTGGAAGTATTCCATCTTTGGCCTTGTGCCTTGGAAACCATTCTTGAGCACATATTTATAGAGGAACACACATGTTCTTTTGTGGTATTGGTTGTACAGCTGCCAGCTTTGAACAAAATTGTAGGCCGTGTTAATAGTACTCCTTTTGTATTTGGTGAAAAAGATATGATACTGTCAGTGGTTTTGCTTTTAAAATTTCTTTTAAACTTTCAGTCTTTAGAAAACCTAAATAGTGATGCTATAGAAACAGTTCATTCTGAGTGCTCAGGAATAGAAGGAAATTTGAGTCTTCCTACTGGAGAGGACGAAGATAAAAATAAAGCCTTTGAAGAGGAAGAAGGTGAGGAAGGTAAGCCCTGAAGTGTGTTCCCTGTGACTCACCTGCCACACCTGCCGCTGCCTTTAGTTCAGGGTCTGGGTTTAAAGTGTTTTGGAGGCCAGGGACTTGGAAGCATTTAGTTAATGATTAAGTCCTAGCCACTTGGTGTTGAATTCCTTAGTGCTGTCATCTCTAGGAAGCATAATCTTACTGTTTCTAAAATTAAGTAATGAAGTTCTGTGTCATTCCATGTATCTGATGATGTAAAACTTTTCAATGTGAATTATAAGTTTTGTTTGGATCTTAATTGTATTCATAATTTTAAATCATTTACAAAATATTAAAGATCATTGTAAAGGACATGGACGCATAGCGTCTGCTCTTCAGGAGCTTACTATTTAAATGATGCAATTTAAAAGAGAAACGGACTAATTTTCAGACTTTGTTAATATAAGAAAAGATGCATTAAATTAATTTTTCATTAAGTGAAAAGAGTCATTTTTTCAAATCAGGGAATATTTTTATAAAGTAGAACTCATACTAGACTAAGACTTCATCGTTGACACAATGTGGAAACTAAAACTTTTTATAGGTGGAAAGTATATGTGAATATATTGATAAAATGTTATCCTATTCTTGTATTAAATACAAGCACAATTTGTGAATACTGGTTTTCTATTTAGTAATGTTAGTTATGAAGTGTAGTAATTAACTTTAATTTATTGATTTTTGTTTGTTTGTTTTTTGGTACCGGGGATCGAATTTGGGTCCTTGTGCTTGTGAGGCAGGTGGCGGCACCACTGAGCTAAATCCCCAGCCTAAACTTTAATTTATTTAGTGATGAACTGATTCCTTTTTTGCCTTTCCTTTGCCACTTATGCATTTTGCAACCTAAAAATGGACAATGAAAGTCACCTGGGTAGAGCTAATATAACAGCTCCTCTGTACTCTGCAGTTAGAATTTTAGTCAAAATTTAGGTAGATACGTTTACCTAAATAAATTAGATTTAGTTCTTCAAACTTGATTTAGCTAACTAAGTTTAGTTAACTAGGTTTAGGTAACTTAAGTAAAGATTTTATTTGTAGATTTTTTTGACATTAATGTACTATCTGATTGTCATTAATTGGAAGTTGGTTATATTATAAAATTTGGATTGAAATATTACTATGTTTATTCTAGGTGTGAAATCTAAGAAGTATAATTGATTCTAAAATAGTACTTTTTTATGGTGCTGGTAAAATGTGAACCACAACAAAATTTTAAAGTTTAATACTAATCTTAGGGTCATGACTGATAATGTAGAGCACCAAATTGGGTTGGAATTAAAAGAAAACAGTAAATTCTTATATTTATCATTATATTTTAAAAAATACAATAAAGTAAAACTTTTTTCCTTCCTCTTATCTAGTGTATTTCTATTTGAACATAAATGCCCATTTTTTTTTTTTGTAATTTTAAGACCATTTTTTGCCAGAACCCAATGCAAAGCAAGTTATTTGCCTCAAGACTTATTTTGGCCATCATAGTTTTAAACCGTGAGTATGATTTCAATTAATTAATTGCATATTTCAGTATTTTTTTCACAGGCAGAAAAAAGATAAATAATTAATTCAATAGTAGATATGCAACATCACTATAGTATTTTCCACACTAATTCCTATAAATGACTACAAAATTATTTTGAAACATTATATATAAAACTTATTTCTGAAAATCATGCTTATAAAGCAAAGGAAGTGATTTTCTTTTAACTGAGGTGTAGAAACTAAAAATATTAATGAATTTCCATTTAATGTTGATTTATTTTTCATTATCTGTGTGCCTGTTTTGTGCCTCATATTTCCCAAAGCTAATATAATAGAAGCTTGTAAGACGGTAGTTTTATGTACTTATTTTTTCAAGATAAACTGATACAAGCTTTAATGTAACAATTTCAAACAACCATATTCTCAAATTCCACGTAAATGAGAAATTTCAAAAATGCATATTATACCTCAAATGCAGGTTATACCCCCTAATAAATTCATATTATCTATAAATACTCTTTACTTCTACAGACCCTATAGCCATATGAGATCAAGACAGAGAGATGAAATATTGATGTGTAGTTATATTCACAACAGTGAACATGGCTGAATCCCTTTTTTACCTCTCTTCTTTGTATCACAGATGAAGATGACATTGGTTGACTTAATGAATGTTACTAGGTAGTAGTAAAATGTGTTAGAAAACTTATATGGATTCTTTTTTTTTTCCCTCATTGAGTTTATTTGTACATTTTAGGTATACAGTACAGTTACATTCATTATTGGGAAGACAGTAGTTTTAAAGACAATGATAATTTTGTTTAACAAACTCAAACTGTTTATGTCTAAAGGGCATACTTAAGTACAAATGAATAAAAGCAAGATGAAGAACAAGTAAGTTTGTATAAAAGTAGTAAGAGTGTAAAAGTTGAGTGGGTTTTTCCAGTTTTAAAAATTTAGAATGAACTCCACTGAAACATTTCTTTTGTCTTTCAATCTTAAAAAATTTTAAATTTAAGCATATCTTTTATACAGGAAAGTACATGTAGGTGTTCAGGTTAATAAATTTTGATAAACTAAGCACCCTAAGTAACCAGCACTTGGATAAGATCATCAGCAGCATAGCAGAGACCACCTCACTAAGTTTTCTCTTGAGATTAAGTTCTCTCATTTTAAACAACATCATTTTTCTTATTGAATTTAAATAATTGATTCTTTTGTTTTTATTTTTGTTGGTACCAGGATTTAACTCAGGTCCTTGTGCTTTCAAGGCAGGCAGTGGAACCACTGAGTGAAATCCCCGGTCCAATAATTGATTCTTTTTGATATCTAGCTAATGAAGCTTAAAACTTATTTTATACTTTAAGTATATGTAATAAAATGTAATACATACAATGAAATGGAAACTCCTAGTTCTTCAGCCAGCCTAAATGGGAGGTTGATTAGTGGGGTTCCTTCTTAAGTTCTAGGGTGTGTATACATTTATATATGAAATTCAGAATTATAAATGAAATTCTGTTAGTAGAAGTAAAAAAAATTAAATGAGTTTCAACTTATCATTTGGGTTTCTTATTAATAAAATAGTTTTTTGCTTTTTACTTTGAAGGGTTCAATGGAAAGTTATTCATTCTGTTTTGGAAGAAAGAAGAGATAATGTTGTTGTCATGGCAACTGGTAAGTAATACTTAAGTAAAAAACTTAATCCTTTAAAAAACAAAGGGTTTACCTCCTCCATTGTTGGTGGGAGTGCAGACTAGTGCAACCACTATGGAAATCAATATGGAGATACCTCAAAGAGCTTGGACTGGAGGTGCCATTTGACCCAGCCATCCCTCTGTTGGGTATCTTTCCAAGAGAACTAAAAGAATCATATCACAGAGAAGTATGCGCACCCATGTTTATAGCGGCACAGTTTGTAATAGCTAAATCTTGGAAACAACCTATTTGCCCATCCGTTGGAAACTGGATAAAGAAGTTGTGGTTTTTCTATAAAATGGAATATTACTCAGCCATAAAGAGCGAGAGAATAGATTCATTCATAGGAAAATGGATACATATTGAAGATATACTCCTAAGTGAAATAAATAAGTCCCACATGTGTAAATACCAAATAGTTTCCCTGGTGTGAATATTCTGCAACAATGCATAAGATTCTAATAAGATTACTGACATTTAGAAATGGGAGGAAAGGAGCTAAAGGTGTAGGGAAGGTGTGATACGTAGGGGAAGAACAAAAAGGGAAAAGAAAAAAATGTGAGAGAATGAAAAGATGAAAATAAAGTGTTTGTAGATGGGGAGGGGAGGAGGGGGTGAAGGGAGGGCAGAGGTAAGGGGAAAAAATGAGAATCAGGACTTGCCATGTAAAGGTACATGATCCCAACAATGAATGTAACTGTACTGTATCCCTAAATGTACCAATAAACTCAATTAAAAAAAAAAAAAAACAAAGGGTTTAAAGTGCTTATCTTTTCATTAAACTCTCAAAATACAGATGCAATGGTTTAAAATATAGAAGAGAGTGAGCAAGAAATAGATGCTCAAATTTTTGCGTGGAACAGCTTTTAGGAAATGGTGTGTTAGTACTGATCATACAAGTACACGGTAAGAAGAAATTGTTTATTTTTTATTTCTGTGAGTTTATTATTTTTACTTTAAGGATATGGAAAGAGTTTATGCTTCCAGTACCCACCTGTGTACCTAGGCAAGATTGGCATTGTCATCTCACCTCTTATTTCCTTGATGGAAGACCAAGTGCTCCAGCTCAAGTACGTAATTTTCTCATTGCTACATTATTATGCTCTTTCTTTAGCCTGTAAATGAAGCATCTGTGTATCATGTGTTAAAGTTTAGTTGAAAACTGCGCATTTCTGCAAGTGAAGCATTATTAGTAATAAGTGACACTTCAGTGGAAGACTTTATCTTCATTCTTTTTCTTTTTTTTTCTTTCTGGTTCTTGCACATGCTAGGCAAGTGCTCTCCCACTGAGCTACAACTCCAGCCATTACTTTTTTTCTTGGCTTCTCTATAAATCAAGGTTATTAGGGGTCTTAATAAAATTTTCTAAAAAGTATTTTTCCAGTTTACCTTTATTATCTTATAAGTCTCTTCTTACGTTGCCTGTACTCTATTTTGGTATGAAATATATACATAGAAATGTATTTTTTTTAATCTCTGAAAGACTTTATCTTCTTCATTCTGACCTATCAGTGAAAGATAACCTTAAAAATTTGGCCAGCCCTTGAAGTACTTTATCAAGTTAGTAAGCTATGAAAGGAGAGAAAAGAAAATTGTAGAGAAGAGGAATACATGTTATAACTTTTTTTACTTGTTCTGACTTAAGAATGAAATTAATGTTTGTAATATGTATATTGCTCTGAAATATTTATTTTTCTTTTTATAGAATGTCCAACATTCCAGCCTGTTTCCTTGGATCAGCACAATCAAAACATGTTCTGGAAGATGTTAAATTGTGAGTAAGTTACAGGTGATTATGACATATGAGAGAGTTCTGTACCCAGATATTTTACTTAATGAGAGTAAAATGTCCATGATTTAAGTGTACTTTATAGTACATACTATAGTTGATTTTAATGTGTTTCAAATTTAAAAGGCTCCATTATTATTAATTCTTGGGCTGTAAAATTGACATTGTAATCGTGGAATTATAAAAGTTTGGTTTTGGTGATGAGTGACTGGAGTGGCAGAGACAGGGAAAGAGGAAGGGAGTGGATTAAGAAAGGTACCAGTCGATTTTGCAGGTTTATTAGTACAACTCAAAGCGTATATAAATTTGCCATTTTTGCCAATGAGAAGAGTGAGGCCCAGATTCATGCAGTGAAATTTTAACTGAGCAAGGACTAGACCAGTGATGACAAATCTTTCAGAGTTTCAATGATAATGAACAGCTGGCTGTGGCATGTGTGCCACCACTGGACTAGACTCTTAAGTCCTTTCCCAGAAGTTTTATCATAATGTAAGGAGGACACCATCTCATATACACACAAAAAAAAGAGAGAGAAAAAAAAATATAAATATAATTAATATGCACATACTAACAATATATGTGCATATGAATGCATTCATATGCAATTAGATATTTATATGTGCATTTATAAAGGCACAGTGCACACGTGCATTTAATAAGTTTTGAGAGATGCACACAAATGTGTAACCCAAACCCCTATTAAGATAGAAAAGTATTACTGTCACTCTAGAAAGTTTCTTCATGTCCCTTCCCATCTCATCTTTTATCCTGAAGCAAATCAGTGCTTTTAAGTTTTTCTGCCACAATTTAATTTTTTCTATCCTAGAATTTCGTGTAAATGAAGTCACATAAAATGAACTTTTTTCTGGAAGAGTTTTTCATGCAGCATAACATCCTTGTGATTCCTCCATGTTGTTACATGTATCAGTAGTTTTTTGTAAATGTCTGAGTATGAATGTACTATAGTTTGTTTTTACATTTTCTCACGGATAGATGCCTAGACTTTTCTATAGATGCCTAGACTTTTCTAGTTTTGAGCTATTACTAAGGAAGCTGATGTTAACAAAAAAAAGTCTTCTTGTGAACATCTGTTTTGTATATTTGAATATTATAAATACTTTTATTGAAGTGTAATTGATATACAGTAAATTTTACATACTGAAAATGTCTAATTTGGAATATTTTAACATGTACACGTCTATGAAAGAGTCAACAAAATTCAGATGTGAACATAACCATCTCCTTCAAAATTTACTGGTACTTTTCTTAATTTATTCCCTTTTCTTTCCCTGGCTTTCCCACCCCAGTTATAAGGTAACTGTTAATCTGTTTTCTATCACTATAAATCAGTTTATTTTCTAAAATTGTACATAAATGGAGTGAAATATACATTATATGCCCTTTCTTTTGTCTGGTTTAAATAATGCAGCATACTTATTTTAAGATTTGTCGATGCTATTACATTTATTAATAGCTCATTCCTTTTATTGTCAAGTAGATTACATTACATGGGTATGTTATGGTCTACCCATTTACCTGTTAGTAGATATTTGGAATGTTTCCCTTTTTAGACTATTATAGGTAAAGCAACTCTGAACAATATGTTTTCATTTCAGTGGTATATACAAGGAGTAGAATGATGAACAGGTGGTAGATTTAACTTTTTATTTTCCAATTAAGGTTAAATTGACGGAACAAAAACTTTATCACATTTACTATTATTAACATCTGGTAGCTTTTAGTGTATTAGTAATATTATATAACTGCCATCACAAATTCCAGAATATTTTATTACCCCCTAAAGTATTGTCACACCCATTAACCAGTCACTACTAATATTTCCCTTTTCTATTCCAACCACTAATGTGGGTCTCTAATATTCCTGCCCTGGACATTTCATATAAATGAACTCATTCAATATGTGGTTATTTGTGTTCGTCATATTTCCTCACCATTATGTTATCAGTATTTCATTTTTTTATTATGACTGGGTATAATATTCTTGGATATGCATTCCACATTTTGTTTTCCATTCACTAGTGGTGGACATTTGGGTTTTTCTTGCTTGGATTTTATGAATAATAGTGCTTTGAACATTTATGTACAAGTTTTTGTATGAACGTATGTATTTGGTTTTCTTGTGTGTATATTAATGAGTGGAATTGGTGGGCCATATGGCGAGTCTGTGTTTAACTTTTTAAGAAATGTCAAACTTTTGGAGAGTGGTTATTACACACCCCCCAGCAGTATATGAAAGGTCCATTTCCTCCCCACCCTTGACATTTCTTGGTATGGCCAATCTTTAATTCTGGCAGTTTTAATAAAAAATTTAACAATTTAATTTTACCATCGTGTGTTAAATATGCTTTTTCCTACTAATTATTTTGCATCTTTTCATATATATATATATATTGGCCATTTGTATATCTTCTTTGAGGAAGTGTCTGTTAAAATCTTTTGCCTATTCTTTATTGGTCTTTTTCTTTACTGAATTTTGATAGTTATATATTCTGGATATAAATTTTTAATTTTATATATGTTTTGCAAACATTTTATCCTAATTAATGATTTTTCTTTTTTCTCTCTTCATAGTTCTTTTGAGGAGCAGCTGGCTTTCATTTTGATAAGTCCAGTTTATCAGTTTGTTCTTTTCGTGTGTTATGCTTTGGTGTTTAAGAAATCTTTGACTAGCCCAAGATCACAAACATTTCATTTTATATTTTCTCCTAAAGGTTGTGTAGTTTTATATTTTACATTTCAACCTGTAAGTCATTTTTAATAAATTTTGAATATCATATGAGGTGTTACGCATACTTTATTTTTTACATATGGATAGCCAGTTGTTCCAGTTCCATTTGTGAAAAAACTGTCCTTTCTTCGCTAACTTGCCTTTTTATGTTTATAAAAAATAAATTGACTAGCCAGGCGTGGTGTATATGCCTTGTACTCTTAGCTACTTGGAAGGCTAATGCAGGAGGTTAAGAGTTTGAGGCCAGTCTGGGCAACTTAATGAAGCCTTATTTAAGAGTGGGTCTATTGCTGCTCTGTGTATTCTCTGTTCTGTAGATCTATTTGTCAGTCTTGTTTGTCCTCTTTCCTTACTAGAGCCTTATTAAGCCTTGAAGTCAGGTAGTGTAAATCTTCTAGTTTTGTTCTTTTCTTTCAAAATTTATTTGGCTTTTCTGGGTTCTTTGTATTTCCAGAAGTATTTCACCATCACCGATTGAACCAACATTTCTACTGGGATTTTGATTTGGATTGTCTTGAATCTATGTATCTAAAGAAGGGGCTGTCTTGATAACTATTATCACTGTCTTACTCTGAAGAAACTAGGGCGTGCTAAAGTTAACTAACTTGCCTAAAAATCGCTTTGCTTGTTAGCATTAGATATGAGATTTAAACCTGGGCAGTCTGATACTGAAGGTTTTTTACATTGTTTCCTATGTTAATTAGAAAACTATTATGAAGGTCAAGGAAATACTTTTTTTACTAATAGATTCCTAGGGAAATTATAATACTTAGCATATAGTACACACACAAATATTTGTTTGAATGGATGTATTAACTATTTTAAAGTATTTTTGTGTAGACCATTTTTTCATCTCATTGAACTTGATCTGTCTTTATCCATTAGAATGGAGAAAGACATTCTATATTTGCCTAAGACCTAGTCTTTATAGCAAATATCATCTTAATAATTATTCTGTCTTCCCAGAATAGAAATTAACTTAAAGTTGTTTAAGAAAATACTGAATTTTATATTAGGGATAAAGGAATGTTTCATGGATCCCACTGAAAAAAAGTTAGGCAGCCTACAGAAAGAGATTGGATTTGGGGTGGAAAATACAATAGAACTTTGTTTTCATCTACAGTCTCCATGTGTGTTTCTCACTTTTTTCTTGGAGAAGAATAAGCATTTTTGGCTTTTCTAGTCACATGGTAGAAGATGGCTGCTCTGCAATTCTTTTTTTTTTTTTTTTTTTTAATTGAACTAACTGGTTGTTTCATGATCAGACTTCCAGATTGTAGGACACAGACTAAACTGGCTTGACTTTGACACACTGCCTATCCCTGATCCAGTGAATTTTAAGCAAGAAAGAAAAAATACATAGAAGAAACATGGAGACTGAAAGCTTAATTGTGGGAGATCAGGGATTCTGGGTTGTAGTTCTCAGAAAAGGAATGTAGTTTGTGGATAGGATAACATCATGAAAAATTTATTAAGGCTTGATCATTTAATTTGAGCACTGTGGTTTTGGGACTAGAATGCTGGAAATCAAGAGCCTAATGTCATCGTAGTGCTAAATACTCCCTGACAGGCATTGCCACATTTTATTTTAATGTATTAAAGAGAAGTTAGACACCTAATATATGTGAATATATAAACACACATATAGCATTCATTTATTTTTTTCTAAGTAGCATAATGCATCATAAAAAATTTATTAGGTATTTTGATTTGGAGTTGTAATTCATTGAGATGACTGTTTTCTTTATTATGGCAGGTTTCTGTTTATTTTGAAAATATGTTTATTTTGTTTGTTTTTCACAGAGGTAAATATTGGATTATTTACATAACTCCAGAATTCTGTTCAGGTAACTTGGACCTACTCCAGCACCTTCAGGCTAATATTGGTAAGTAACAAAATAGTGTAAATACTTTATAAATACTTCCTGAATTATTACTCTAAAGAGTTAAACATGTAGACAGATACCAGATTTAGCTTTTGTTAAAGTTTATTTCAGATATTATCTCCAAGAAATCTGTCTGACTCTTCAATTTGTTGCTTCTCCTGATTTATCTCATACTACCATATAATTCTTTTGTCATAGAAATTGGGCTCCTTTGGGCTGGGAATTTAGCTCAGTAGTAGATTACCTGCCTCATATGCTAGATGTCTTGAGTTTGATTCCCAGTACCAAAAAAAAAAAAATAAAATAAAAAAGTCTTTGGGCTCCATTTTGAGGGAAAAATGCAATTCTTATTTATATTTCCCTGGTACAATGATTGACACATAGTTACTTAGATATATAATTGAATAAATATTGAATCCTGGATTTCATAAAATTATAATTTACTGCTTTTTCATATTTTGAATGTAAATTGAGTCCATGGGGTGGTTCTTTATCCTTGTTTTGCATAATCACCCTTCAACCTTAGGAAGCTGATCTTCCACCTTGAAAATTCTGGTGTAATTCTGGGGTGGGCCTGGCATCTTTCATTTTTCACAAGTGATTCTAATGTGTTACTAGTGTTGGCAGCCACAGTTCCTCTAATACAAATGAATATGACTAATTACAAATAAATAAATCCCCAACTTGGGTAATCTAAGTCAGAGTTTATTTTGTAGAAAATGTAAACGTAGAATTAGTTATAAACTGAGGTCGCTGTTTTAGGAGAATAAGTAAGTTTTTTTTTTTATTTGTTACTTTCTTCTTAATGGTTTCCCGGGAGTTGAAGTAATGACTTCTATCACAACTGCTCATATTTTATTTTATTTTTATTGTTTTGGTACTGGGGATCAAACTCAAGACAACCTTGTGCTTATGAGGCAGGCAGCAGAACCACTGAGCTAAATCCCTGGCCCAAATGCTCATATTTTATACCTTAAATTGAACTAACTAAACTTAATTTTCCAAGAATGTATGATTTTCTAGAATAATCATGTATTAAATTAATTCCAGTTGCTTAGATTTTCAATATTGTAGCATTTTACTCAACATAAGGAAAATATTTAACCATTTTTCCAACAGTATTATGAAAAAAATATGTTTAAGTATGTGATAAAAGCAAAAAAATGAATGCAGAAATCAAAATTTGAGTAAATTTATCATCTGAATACATCTTTCAGCTGCTAAACTTGCTTATAGGTATACTTTTGCATTTAATGGAAAATGAGTTGGATATGATTCCTATTAGTTAACATTAAGTTTCTTTTAAATACTTCACTTTAAAATTATCTTTAAGCCTATCATACCCTAGATATAAATTTCCAGATTTGACTGCAAAAGCTAGGATCTGTGGCCATAGTAATCTGAGTATGTTTTCTTTCATGTTAGTGTTTGTTTTGTTTTTGTGATAATATTAAGTATTTTAAATATTCAAGCAGATATCTAATATATTTGATAAACAGTATTTTAATTACTTGTCTCGTTGTTGAGATACAACACTTGACACCCACAAGTTAAAGGAGGAAAGGTTTATTTCAGCTCACAGTTTGTGGTTTCAGCCTATAGTTGACTGGCTTCAAGGCAGAGCCGCATGACAGAGGGCCATGGCAGAGGAGAAACAGTCCATAGCAGGGCAGGCAGGAAGGTGTGAAGCAGCAAACCTCCCTTTCCCTCTTATTTCATCTAGGCCAGGAGCCTTTTGGGTGGTGCTTCCCACGCCTGGGGTGAGTCCATTACCCATACCCAGAATAATGCTAAACCGATCAGTGGACTGATTTGGTTATGACACTCTTAATCCACATACACACACCCTTAATCCACATTACATAACCTTGATCCAGCCACTTTTGAAAAGCCCCACCTATGACTGCATAAGGCTTTGTGGGAACATCTAGATACAAGCTATAACAAACACTTACACCTTTCTGTATCTTTAAATAATGGATTGAGTATGAGTATTACAATAATTAGAGCACAACTTTGATTGTGATGGATGAAAAAAATTTGGAGGGTAGCTGGCTATGGTGGCACTTGCTTATAATCCTGACACTCAGGAGGCTGAGGCAGGAGGATTGCTGTGATTTCAAGGCCCGTCTGGGCTACATAGTGAGTTCAGGGCCAGTCTGAACTATAAAGTGAAACCCTTTTCAAAAAACAGAACAAAACAAAACAAAAAAACCCAAAACAAACAAAAAAATGGAGGTGATGACTTTTAAGGTTGAATAAGAAAAGAAATGAAAATTACTTTTGAAATATTTTCCTTTGGCTTTTGTTCCCAAGAAATTGTAAAACACTTGCAAAAATGAATGTACCTAGGATGTTATTTGTACAGTAGTCTGACCTTTGACTATTCAGACATAATTTTAAGGTAAATGTTAAATTATTTAAGCACTCTGGATTTATAACAGAAATAGCAAGCATACTTTTAATTAGGCACTCCTTACTGCCATACTTATGATTATCTTTTAAATTTGGTAATTTGACTTGAATGATGAGTATGACAAAATGAAATACATAAAGGTCTTGTGAAACACTTGAACTTGTATCTTTAAAGTGAATGTTGCTGGGAGGGGAATTTAACTCATTGGTTCTACTGCCTGCCTCACAAGCACAAAGACCTGAGTTCGATCCCTGGTACAAAAAAAAAAAAAAAAAAAAAAAAAAAATTAGAATGTTGCTGATGAAGCTTGCTTAAACTGATTGTGATAGACAAGATTAAGCTCTTCTAAAAGCTAATCAGTTAAACCTGCAACTAAGACTTTTAAAATAAAGGAGGATTTCATCTTTTGTTTTAAACATTTAATTTAAAATCTAGGTGATTTAGTTGCTTAAAAAAAAAAAAAAAAAAACTAATGGTAACACTGATGTATTCCCAGCTACTCAATTATAAACAACACAAAACAAAAAAAATGGAGAGTTGTCCTAGGTACCTTTCATGTATTTTCCCAAAAAGTACTTACTTGTGTGACTGTAGTACAATACCAAAACTAGGAATATGACATCTGTACATTGTCCAAAGTTTATTCAGATTTCACCATTGTATCAATCATTGTATCACAATACCCGTGTGTGTATTTTTCTAAAAGTTTTTTCTCATATAGCTTTGCTGTCTACAGATAGAGCTATTCTATTACCACAAACTGGAGCTGTTCTTCTGTGGCCACACCCACAGTCCTCTCCACCCAAACTCTAGTCTCCTCCAACAAATCGACTAATCTAGTTTCCATCTCTGTAATTCTTTTATTTAAAAACTGTCATATAAATGTAATCATATAATTTGCTACCTTTTGGAATATTTTTTTCACTTAATTCCCTTGAGATTTGTCTGAGTTGTTGTGTATTTTAAAAGTTTTTTATTGCTGAATAGTATTCCATGATATGAATGTACCAAATTTGATTAACCATTCACCTGTTGAATAACTTCTGGTTGGTTTCTAGTTTCTGACTGTTATGAATAAAGATACAATGAACATTTGCATATACTCAAAGTCAATGATTATAAACGACCTGTGAACTTCTTTTTTATGAGCACATGTTAGCAATACATACAGTTTACAGTTACACTGGGAAGTGGGTACATGTACATAATACAGCTTGATTCTTTTTAAAAATCCCTTTCCCCTTCTTTCTTGCCTTACTCCCTCATCCTATAAATGCTCTTTCCCCATTTTTTTCTTGTTGATGTTATTAATCTTATCTCATATTTATGACATAAATGTTTACATTCATTGAAGTTCTCTATTGAAATAGAACTGTTGTTTTAAAAAAGACATTGTTGCATGTGGTTCATAAGGATAGTTTTGAGACGAAAGTGCTAGCAAGCAGTTCATTTCTCTGAGGAATAATGATGAACACTGAAATTTAATAAATATATTGTTTGAATTAATATATAAATGTTTTGTTTTTATTCTAATACCTTTTATTCATTTATCTTCCCTTCCTCTATTCCCAGTAATGATTTTTGATGTTATGTGGTGTTACATACTTATGTTTACATTTTAATATGCATCGATATAGGTTTTTATTTTTTGTAAGCTTTGTATATTTCAAATAAAAACAGTATTGATTTAGATTAGTTTTACTCCCCTTTGAACTTTTTCCACTATGTTTTTTAATAGGGATCACACTTATTGCTGTGGATGAAGCTCACTGTATTTCTGAGTGGGGGCATGACTTTAGAAGTTCCTTCAGGACATTGGGCTCCCTAAAGACAGCACTCCCACTGGTAAGCTATGCCAAGTCTAGTGCCTTGAAATGACATTTTTACCAAGCAGAGCATCTGGGACAGAGGAATGAACAGAAAACTGAAGACTTCTCTGTGAAAGGGAAAAGAGACGATGTAAGCAAGGGAAGGATTTTTCAAAATTCTACTCTTGGTTTCTAAGGTTGTCATGCAATTTATTGAGGAATGCTATAAAATAAAGCTTGGCAAACCTTTTCTAAAGGGACTAAATAATAGCAACAATAGTCCTCCCTTATTGACAGGTGATACATTTTAAAACCCCTGGTATATGTCTAAACTGTATGTATACTCAAAGTCAATGGTTAAATGACCTGTGAACTTCTTTTTTATGAGCACATATTAGCAGTACATGCAGTTTACAATCACACTGGGGAGTGGGTTCATGTACATAATACAGCTTGATTCTTTTTAAAAATCCCTTTCCCCTTTTTTCTTGCCTGACTCCCTCCGCCTCTGAATCCTCTTTCCCCATTTTTTCTTGTTGACATTATTAATCTTATGTGTATGACATAAATGTTTACATTCATTGAGGTTGTTAAGTTCCTGTGCATGGCATATGTTTGTTCTGCTTATTTTCCCTTTTCCCTCTACTCTTGTCCTCAGTCTCCAAGACCCTTGCAGGAGATCTATGCCCTTGTGTCCTCCTATCTATCTTTTATTTTGTGCTCTTTGTTTGTACCCTGTGAACTTTTTATTTATCTGGGATAAATGCCTACAAGTGCAGTTTCTGGGTCTTACAGTAAGCCAGTTTGTTCATTCATTCGTTCATTCGTCTGTCTGTTCATACATCTCTCTGTCTGTCTGTTTGTCCCTCCCTCCCTTCCTTTACTTTTTGAATTAAGTTTGTTTCTTGTGTGCAGCATATTATTGTATCTTGATTTTTAACCCATCTGCTAATCTGTTTTTTTTTATTGAATTTATTGGTACATTTTAGGTAGACAGTACAGTTACATTCATTTCTGGGATTTTTTTTTTTGATTGGTGAATTGAGACCATTAACATCGATGGTTATAACCAATATATATTAACTTAATCTTGTCATAACTTTACTTTTTGTTGGATTGTCCCCCTTTTCTTTTAATTTTTTGCTATGCCATGATGGATTCATTCTGCTGGGCTTCCTAGGATTGTGATTGTTGTTGTGTTTTCCTAGGATATTGTTTAAAATTTTTGGAGTGCTGGTTTAGTATTTATGAAGTTCCTGATGTGCTCTTTGTCATGAAAGTATCTTTTTTCTCCATCAATTTGGAAAGATAGTTTTGCAGGGTACATCAGTCTCGGTTGGAGCCTGTTTTCCTTTGGGGCTTGAAGTACATCACTCCAAGATCTTCTTGCCTTGTGGTTTTGTGTTGAGAAGTCTGCCGTGATTCTGATAGGCTTTCCTTTGTTTATGAATTGTTTCTTTTCTCTAACTGCTTGTAGAATTTTCTTCTTCTGTTGGGTTTCTGGAATCTTAACTGTTATGTGCCTATGTTAGATTTTTTTTTTTTTTTTTGATCATGGCTAGTTGGAGCCTTGTAAGCCCTATTTATCTGTGTGTCAGGTTGTTTTCCCTTATTTGGGAAGTTTTCTGCCATTACTTCAGTGAACAGTTTTTTTTTTTATGTCATCTGCAGTCTCTCCTGTTTCTTCATTGACTCTGTTTCTTCAGTCTTATGTTATTCTTCTTTGAATTGTCTAGCAACTGCTGTATTGATTTTTCATGGTCCCTTATTATTTTTAAGAAATTTTTCTTTTCCTGGTCACTGATTGCAATCCTATCTTCTATATCTAAAATTCTGTCCTCACATTGGCTTGTTCTGCTATGTAAACTTTCAGTGGAGTTTTTAATTTCTTGGAAATCTGTTTGTACTTGGTTTATGGATTCCATTTGTTTCCTGTGTTTGGATTCTATCATGTTTCTCAGCTCCTTTATTTTTTAAATCTGTCCACTCTAGATTTATTAATCATGTCTTGAGCTATGGGCACAAACTCTGCTGTTATTTGAGAAATTATTTCTGATTTCATTTGTTTTTCAGCTCCTCTTTCATTGCCAGTTCAGGGAGTCTAGGTGGTTCAGCATAAGTTTGTTCCATTTCATTGTCCTTTGGGGTTGCCTTAGGTGACCTGGAAGTCTGGTTTTGGGACTTATTTCCATTCTTCTCATTTCAACAGATGCAGCCTACTGTGCCTTTGTTGAGGCAACTTTTTGCTCATCCAGTGATTTTCTCTCAGCAGGTCACCACACAGCCTTTACTGTGATGTTCCTCAGTACAACAATTCCTGGGTTTAGAACGGTGGCCTTCTATGTCCTTGAGCTAACCTGCTGTCTGGGTGGACTTCTGGCTGGGGCCTGTGCACATTTGCGATGGTATCTAGGCATGCCTTTGGTGGGACCCTATGTTGTTGTTGTCTGAAAGGGCTTTGGCTGGGGTTTGTGTACCCCAGTTCCTGTTGTCTGCATAGGCTTCTAGCTAGGGTCTCTGTGAATTTATCAATGGTATCGGGACAAGTATATGGATGTTGCTTGTGTGTCTATGTAGTTCTCCATGTGGGCCCTTGGCTGTGGCTGATGGTATGGCTGTTCTCTGTCCGAAGCTTGTGCACCTGTGCAGCTCTTTTCTAAATGGGCTTGTAGCTTGGGCTGGTGTGCCTACACCTCTGGGGTTGGGGCGGGGCCCTGGCTGAGATCTGCCTGTTATAGCTGCTCCTTGGGATGTGTCTGCACTTACTGATTGTATGGCAGGCCTCTGGATCCATTTTGGTTCTTTCTCTACCTTGTTCCCTTTCTCATTTGAGCCATTTTGATAAGTATGTTTGATTTGCATTTCTCTAGTGACTAATGAAATTGAACATATTTTCTTTTAGTAATTGCCTTTTGGTAAATTGCCTGATTTAATTGGATTGTGTTTAAATATTTTTCTGTCAAATATTAAAAACTATTTTATAGATGTGAGTCTTTAGTTAGATATGTGGTTTCCAAATATTTTCTCCTAGTTTTAACGTGTCATTTCAGTATTTTCCCAGAGCTTTTCTTATATAGCAACATCTTAAATTTTGAGAAAATCTAATTTATCAATTTTTTTTCATTATGAGTTGTGCTCCCTTAATTCAGTGGAGGTGAACCTAGGAAGCATGTTGCAGTGGGCTGTTTGTTTGTATCACTGAAAGCTCTAAAAGCTTTCTCAGCCTCAGTCCTATTTTTAAAGACTTTCTCCTATTTTTTCCTAAAGTTTTTAATTTTACATTTAGATATGTGATCCATTTTGAGTTCAGTTTTATATAAGGCTTAGGTCAGAGTTCATTGTTTTTCCCATAGATGTCCAGTTACCCTGGACCATTTGTTGGAAAGGTTGTCCTTCCTTGAATTCCTGTTGCCCTTTTGTTGATAATCAGTCGTCCCTTGAACATATTCACATGGGTCTATTTCTGGGTTCTTTAATCTGATGTATTAATTTTGAGTGAATAAATAGAGTTGCCTATGTTTAGATATTCCAGGAGCCCAAGATTTCACAGTTGAATAAGTAAACTAAGAAAACAGTAGAAGTTGTTATTATAGTAGAACTAGATTGTCTAGTGCAGTTTCATTGCTTGCTAAACTTGATAGCAAATTGAGAACCATCTTAAATAAACTGTTTTTTGGGTAGTTTTGCTCATAAATGATTTTGTTGGATTGGATACTAGACAAGGAGAATAAATCAACAAAAACATAAATAGTGTAAATTGAGGGAAACTCAAACTAACATGAATTGAGCTCCAAAGATGTTACTGGTACTGGGGTAGGTGTCTCCTAACAGTTCAATAAGGTAGTTATTAATGTTTTCTTAATTTTTCCCTGTAACATTCTTCACTTGTATACTCTTCTGGCTCTCTCACTATGTTCTTAGTCTCCTCTATTTCATCTCATGGCCTGGCCTTTTATTGTTGGCATGTCTGAAACCTTAGTACTTGGGCTGATTCTCTTTCCTATGCTTGTACTCCCTTGGTCGTCTCATCTGACAGACAGTTGTAAATATCACCTATATACTGAGAATCTTAAATTTATGTCTTTATCTTGGGTCTAATAGCAGCAATGCATAGGTGATTCAGTTCTCTGCCTGCTTGCCAGCATTTGGTATTATCATTATTTTTTGTTTTAGTTATTCTATAGACTATAAATAGAATATCTTATAAAGTATTTATTGACTGTGTATGCAAATATACATACTTACATAAACATGTATTTAAACACACAAACACGTATATATTCATACATGTATAAACACATATACTCATATACATATATATAATTGCTTACTCTAGATTTTTCTACTTAGATGCTTAATAGGCATCTCAAACTTAACCTGTCCCAAACTGCCTTCTTGAGAATCTCCCTATCCAGGACCTGTGCTTTCCTAAAATTTCTCCCACTTTGTTTAATAGCAACTCTATCCTTTTGGTGTTCATGTCCAAACTTTTGGAATTTTATTCAAATCATCTCCTTTTTCTAACTTTTCCCCATACATTTAAGTAATAAGGAAGCCAGACATGTTGGTACATGCCTGTAATCCCAGCACTTTGGAGGCAGAGGCAGGAGGATCCCAAGCGTAAGGCTCGTCCAGGCTCCATAGTGAGTTTATGACCAATCTGGACTGTGTACATACAGCCAGCCCCTGTCTCAAACAAACCAACAACCAGAGAAATCAAGATAATCAGGAAGGAAATCTTGTAAGTTCAGAATATATACAGATCTCATTTCTTCTCTCTTCATCTCTGCCATTCTTAAGCCTTGATCTTTTACCTGTGTTACTACAATAATCACCTGCTTTCATTCTTTTATCTAGTCTTTAAATATAGCATTCAGAATAATACATTGGATCTTGTCTTTTGCTCAAGATGCTGTAGTAGCAGTTTTCCATTTCACTCTGAATGAAGGCAAATATTGATATCATGTATTACTGAGTCTTACAGGATCTATTCTTCTGTTTTCTCTTTCACCTCATCCTCTCCTACTTGTCTTGACA